ACTTGCTTTTTTCTTATTAAGCAATTAAAAAGGCCTGTGATTTCTTTCCAGTTTCTTACACACAAATTGCCTAAAAATTGCCATGTTGATGTTCTGAGCTCAAAACCGAGGTGCTAGTTTTAGGTTAAGATTTTCATACCCCACTAGTGCATTTGAGGGGCCTGGCTCTGAGTGGCTTCTGGAGTGAAATCGTCACCCAGACTCTGTTTCAGTGGTTTAAGCAATTAAAAAGGCCTGTGATTTCTTTCCAGTTTCTTACACACAAATTGCCTAAAAATTGCCATGTTGATGTTCTGAGCTCAAAACCGAGGTGCTAGTTTTAGGTTAAGATTTTCATACCCCACTAGTGCATTTGAGGGGCCTGGCTCTGAGTGGCTTCTGGAGTGAAATCGTCACCCAGACTCTGTTTCAGTGGTCACAGCAGGTTCTATACAGCCTGGGCAAAGCGAAACCCAACCCTGAGCATCCACGGGGCTGTGCCGAGCCTGAAACCTGACCGAGGTTCTGACACTTTCAAGGCTGATGGAGAGAATATTCAAAGGCTGCGTGGGATGAGCAGAGTCAGTGTGTTCAGCCCCAGAGTGGCTGGTGTTCTGCTGCCATGGCGAGGCAGGGCAGGGCCCCAGAGGTGCAGCATGGCCCTGTGCCACCCGGGAGCTCACTCCTGCGGGAGGCAGCAGAAGCTTCGCAGAGCCAAGGCTTCAATCAGCAGCTGGATCTGACACTCACGACAAAGCTGCCAAAGCAGCCCATTGACTGAACAGCTGCCACTCTCAAGGAGCTGCTCTGGGACATCTGGAGAGCTGGCAGGGCCCTGGGAGCGGAACAGGCAGCGCTGTGTCCCGGCGCGGCTGGAGCACGGCACCGTTCCCCGCGACGTTCCGAGAGCTTCAGGAAATGTCTTCACCCGTGGCCTCTGTGCCAGCACTTGAGCTGCTGCTGACTCACAAATAAAGCCCAGAAAAGTGCTGTTTCCTTGCTGGTGAATCAGCCATTGTTTCTGTTCTGTTTTTTTGCTAATCATAGTTACTGGCAGGGTTTGCCAAGGATTGAGTGTTGATGAAGGAATTTGGAAAGGATGACTGAATTCCTCATGCCCTTTTCCTAAAGCTGTATCCAGGAACTTCTTGCTCCTGTCATCTGCTTCCTACTGCAAAATTCTGCCTGTTATCCCATAGAGAAAAGCCTTCTGGCATTCAGCATCCCAGATATCCTTATCAACCTAAGGCAGGACCTGCAGAGAATAGAGGAGCTGCTTAAGGAGGGGACTCTGAACAGGAACCTTGATTAGGTGTGTGATGCTCTCTCCAGAGGAGTTTAATTCTTCATTGCCTGAACTGGGAATGTGACAGCCCAAAGTTAACTCGTGGGAGTTCCCCCTAGGGTCTGTGACAGGAGATGTGCTGAATATTTCCAGCTCCTGTTGCCATTGGAGATGCAACTCAGTGCAAAATTAGTCCTTCGGAAGTGACTCTCCTCCTCAGTCATAATTAGTAGATGTTCTCTTCAGGAGAGCTGGATCCATGCAGCACTGTCAGCTGTAATTGCTGCAGCTGTATGTGGGTTTACAATGAAGTTGCTTTGCTGATAGCAGGAAGAGAGTAGGAAAGAGGGTGCAGAGAGTCCTGTGGAGCAATAGGTGCAGAGAACACTCTTGCTGATTGAGGCTTCAGCTTCTGGAGGGTTCCTGCTGCCTGGACTTGAGAATCTAAAATAGATCAGGTTATTCCTGTGAGGAAATGCTTAATTAGTTATATTTGGGAGCCTAATACCCAGGATTTGTGGTGTTCTCTGAGGTCTGTAGCTCAACCAGTTTGAAGCAGGAGTAATGAATTTACATCCCACTTATGAGATCTTCAGTGTTAACTTCTCACTGACTCCTAGATCTGAGCAGAGTTGTTCCATGGCTGCTGGAAGCAAGGCAGGTTCTTGGCTATCTAGAGTCAAGAAGAAGACAGAGCTTGTGGCAGTCTGGTCGTTCCCATGTTCCTATCCATCATGCCTCATGTGCCAGCAGCTGTGCTAGAAATGTCTAATCTCTCCTGTTTGTGTTTGATTTCAGCTCAGCAGGTCCTTATTGACCGTTTTTTCTTTGTTTTGTAGAAGCCACTCTTGGCCCAGAAATAAGGGAATATACAACTTCTGCTCCAAATGCCACCAAGGCCACATCATTTCCCACGGCAGTGCTGAACAGTACATTGTCACCAACAACTCTACAGACACTGTTCCCCATCAGCTCCTCTGACAACAGCACCTCTGCTTTCGCAGATGTTTCGTGGACTCAGTTTAACATCATTATCTTGACAGTGATCATCATTGTTGTGGTCCTGCTGATGGGCTTTGTGGGGGCTGTCTACATGTACCGTGAGTATCAGAACAGAAAGCTTAATGCTCCTTTTTGGACCATTGAACTCAAGGAGGACAACATCAGTTTCAGCAGCTACCACGACAGCATCCCCAACGCCGACGTGTCGGGGCTGCTGGAGGACGACGGCAACGAGGTGGCACCGAACGGACAGCTGACGCTGACCACTCCCATGCATAATTACAAAGCTTAGAAGTGATCCAGCTGTTCAGAGTTGGCTGCTAAAGAGTTACAGGGCTTGTGGAAGGGGTGTGAGGACCCGTGCCAGGCTCCACGCAGAGGAATTTGCTCTTCAGATACTCTCGTGCTGGGCGTGCTGTAGCTTGCGGGTGATCAGGAAACAGTGTAGTACATCCGAGTTTCAGGTAACGTGGTGAAGTGTGTTCAGTGTCCTGTTCTCCATAAAGATCCATAGCATTCACTGTTGGTAAATCTTAACTGTGCTGCTCTGAAAACACTTCTTTTCTGAAGAGGTGGTGGGGTGGAAAGAGCAGAGCCCCAAGAGGAATCAGAAGCTACTCGGTTTCCAGCCAACACAACACTTGTGTCTGCAGCCTTTAGTTCGAGAAGTAGCTCATAAATTAACAGTGGATTTTCAGGAAATAGACCTTTGGAAAGGCATCATGTTAGTTCCTGATATAAATTTGTTTGAAAAGGGGAACAAAAAGAAAGGCAAATAGTAGTTCACTGTACTACCAAAAGGCAAGTAGAGGAGTGAGTTGCACACTTGAAAAATGTCACCATTATCTGTTTCCACTAAGCAGGGAGACAGGAAAAAAAATCATTGAAACATTGGAGTTAGGGAAGAGACTAAGCTCTTCCCTTTCTGAGTATTTATACAGGGTGATGATGCTATGAAAACATAGCAATCCATTTTTTTCTAGAAGGAGTTAATGAACTTGTATAGTTTCTGTGCAAGGGAAGACGACAAGACATCTCAGGGTTGCCGTGTAAAAAGAAAAGCCAGGCTTAATACCTACCCTGATAGAAACGGTGTGTTTGTATATAAAATGTAATATATCTTCTTGCTATTGTATTTGTAATTATTTGTAAAAAAGATAACCAACCAAAAAAAAACCCCAACAACAAAACCATGAACTCTCCCCAACCTTCCCTGCTCCCCAGGTCTTGTTTTATCCTCTAGATTTTAACTGTACAGGTTAGTGACGTTGTTTAAAAAGACAAAACCCGAGGATTGTTTAAAATACTGTAAATGAGATGGCAATATTGTTGGAGCTGGGCCTCTGGCAAACACCGACTGCTTAAAGCTTTTCTTCTAGTGTCATTGGATAACTTCTTTTTCAGAGAGAATGTGAGTGCTCCCTACTTGCATCTGTCAGATTTTCCCACTCCTTTAAATTCAGAGTGAATAGCAGTGTCACCATGACTGGAGCCGAGTAGGTGTCCAAAAATCGGATGTACCATTCTGTTCCTGGCTTTTAGATCTCGATAGAAAATGCAAATTCACTGTCACAAGCACATTGAGAGCCTGGTCTCGATGGCTCAGCTTCTCCCCAACGGCTGCTCCCACTGCCTTCCCTCCTGTGCTGACGGGGTGATGGGGGCAGAGCACAGCCTCCTGACCTCTGGAGGGGCAAGAGCAAAGGTCTCCTGGAGTGGAAACAGCTCTGGGATGGATGGAGAGCTCCCAGGAGCAGAACAGCACTTCGAGGCTCAAGAGGTAAAAGCGCACAAGGCGCTTTCAGGAGTTTAACATAGCACAAGGTGGTGGTGGGGAATCAGCTGTCAAAAAACCTCCAGGGAAGCTGAGGTTTGACAGAGTCCCCTGATTTCTGTGGGAGGCTGGTAGGCTGTTAGCAGAGGGAGAAGAGCTAACAGCAGCAAAGCACGGGGAGGTGGCACCACGGAGCTCCTCAGCTGGTACCAGAGTGTGCTCCCCGTGCCAGGTCTCACCCCTGGAAATCTCAGCTCGGTTGGTACCACAGCGTGTGTGTGCCTGGAGACAGGCACTGTGCTCCCTGTGCCAGGTCTCACCCCTGGAAATCTCACCACTGCACTGGGACAGGCTGTGAGATGTTTCCCCTCACTCCTGCCCACCCTCATTGCTGCAGCTGTGGTGCTGTGCGTGGTGCTGTGCGTGGCTGCGGCTTCACAAGCAGTTGATGCTGAGGATCAATGAAGGACCTGCTCAAGATCTGCAGGAGCTGGTGGATTCATGCTCAGAGCCAGGCAAAAGTGGCTATTTCTCAAGATGAGACATGGTAGGAAGAGTGTGGTGGTTATTTATTTGCTTTCTGGTGCTGCGTGGAGGCTTTTCTTCACATAGGAAACGTGGAGGGGAGCGAATAGGTGCTTTAAGCACAGGCACAGAGATGTCGTTTCTGCCTCAAAAACTTGCCTGATTTAAAAAATGAGGCACAGCAAGTCAGAAGGAAAATAGTTGAGGATGACCAGGGGAAATGGTGAGGGCAGAATGTGGTGTTGACAGAGGCCTGAGCCATGGAAAAGCTCCTGTTGCCTGCTGTGGGCTGGGAGAGGTCCCATGGTTTAGGTACCAAATCTGTTGATGTCATTCAGAGCTGTGTGAATTCAGTTATGACTCGGGGGAGGACTGGAGGAGAAAATCTGGATCTTGCTAATCCTCAAGTTACTCATCAAGCTTATAAAGAGCGAAGTGGTGACAAAACAGAAAATTTCCTAAAAACTGTAATTATTTAGCAGTGCTAATCTAGTGCTACACTTGCACTTGGTCACTCCTTAGGGTGGGGAAAGGTCGTTTAGGAAGTGTTAGCTTCTGGGCTGATGCTGCAGGCAAAGTCAAGGGTAGGCTGTTCACCTTAATGTTTCTGAAATACTTAGTAGAGCTTCTCATCTTTGCCACAAAACACCTCTTCCTCAAATTTTGGTATGACTTTGTAACAGGAACAGGCTTGGATTTTTCTCACTGCAGAAAGAAGGACCATCTGCCCAACCAGAGCGTGGGCTCAGGTGCTGAGCCCTCCTTGCCCCTGCCTGCCACAGCACAGGAGGTGTTGGCACCTGGGCTCCTTCTGACCCCTAAGTACTGCAAGTGCTTTGTGTCTGGGAAGGGAAGGAGGTCAGGGTGCTCTGTAGTCAGGCTGCAAGGGAGGGCAGTGCAGCTGTTGTCCGTGGGTTGCACATCTGGCTGAAGGGCTCTAGATGGGATGGGAAGCTTGGTTGGGCAGGGGAGACCTGTCTGCCCAGGCTTGGATGGCAGAGGAAAGCACAGGGTGTTCTTTAGCAGGGATGGGAGCACTACAAGGATGTGGCACTGGCACAATGCTTGTCAGATGGCAGAATGACTCAGCAGGGACACACCAGCCACCTCCTGCCACCCAGGCCTTGGCACACAGGAACAACAGTTATAAAAGGAGATCGATGCCACGGCAAGGAGAGAACAAACAGCTTGGCATTTGACTTTGGTGAGGAGAGATCAGATCCTCCTTGCCCTCACCAGTCATGCAGCTTCCCCTGGCACCACAGGAGGAGAGGAAGCAGCTGAACTAGTTCTGTCACCAGTAGTCAGTCCAGGTTGGATTGTGTGTGGATGGTGCAGAGCTCAGACACCTGTGCCAGGGCACTGAAGGTCACCAGGACCTGCCACGTGTCATGAGGCTTCCCCAGGTGCTGAGGTTTGCCCTGTGCCACGTTGGGGTGAGGCAGGTAAACCAGAAATGGACTCTCAGGGCTGCTTTGAGGCCCAGCTCAGCAGCTGTGGGGCCAGGGGAGAGCGTCTCGGTGGCTGGTGGGGCTGAGGTGGCAGTACAGGTACACGTGGTGCTCCTGCTGAGCCACCATGCAGCACCTTCTGCCTGGGCACGTGCTGCCTGGCTCAGCAGTGAGGCTGTCCCAGTCCTGGCATGGGACAGGCTGCAGAGCAGGGAGAAGGTAGGACAGAGCTGGGGGGATGTGGGAAACCAGCTCTTGAGGCCTCAGGGTTGTGAGGGCCCAGATGGACTGGATGGGCTGAGTCCAGTTCCGCAGTAAATGCCAGAGGACAGAATGGAGTGGATGAGGGCACAGAGCAGTGGTGTGTCAGGGCTCACAGCCTGGGAGAGCGTTTGGTGAGCACAGGGTGCAACAGGCAGGCAAGAAGCAGTTGGGTTAATGAGGATAGAGAGTCCTGTATCTCCTGAAATAGCTGCGAGGAGCACTAGCCCTGGGGAGCTGTCGGGAGCTGTCAGCCACTGGAATGATAATTCCCTTGGACCAGGCTGAGCAAACTTAGCACACTGGAAGCATTTAGGAAAGAGGAGGGGAATGTGTTCAGCATCCTTCAGGTATCCTGGGCCAGTTAACCACTGCTGTGCAGCATTGTTACCTGCAGTGTTACAGGTAATGGAAGTGTGGCAGGAAGTTTGCACAGTCTCCTTTAAATAAAGGATCTGAAAATACTTTTTGAAGTGAAGTTTTAGACTGAGCTCCCACAGGACTCTGCTCTTGATGTGTGAGAGGAATAGATTCAGATAAGAAAAATGTGGGCCTTAAAAGTTGTACTTGCTCCCAACTGAAACCCATCACTGCACACCCCAGTCTGGTGTCTCCCAGGCATATGCTGTGCTTACAAATGCATTTCTAAAAAGAAAAACAAAGTGTATGATTTGAATATATGTCAGAATTTATACAGAAGAATGTTATTTAAAATGAATAAAAATAAATGTATATAATTTGTATCTATGCCACTTGGATTTTTGTGTTCATGGGTTTGGTCATTGAAGTTCAGCGGGAGCCACTGACAGAAAGGATTGAATCCAATCTCATCCCAGTAATGACATTTGTTCCAGAATTATTCCTTCATTATAGCCCCGTATGTGAGATGAGAACCAAGGCACAGAAATGTTTTAACATCAGATATGTATGTGAGATGAGAACTGAGGCACAGAAATGTTTTAACATCAGATAGTCATAAGCACAGTTGACATTCTGTGATAATCCAGCCAGAATGAGCCCTCAGCTCTGCTGTGTGAGCTGTGAGCCATCGCAGCCCTCAGCTGCTCACACCGAGGCGTTGGGAGCTCAGCAATCAATGCCCAGTTCCCACTGCTGCCTGTAACATTCACACACACACATTCTGCCAGAGCTGTGAGTCATTAACAGCAAAACCCTCCGAGCAAAGCTAGAAAAGGGATGAGGATGTTGGATCAGATTTTTCTTCATGACCACAAAAGTCTTTCAAAGGCCATTTCTGTTATAGATACTCTGAAATTTGCATCTGTGGTGTCAGGAGTTGGAGCAGTTCTGGGAGTGTCTGCAGAAGGGGCTGGAAAACTTGTGTTTCTGTCTCGCTTGGCAGCGTTAGGAAATTGATTTTTGTTTTGCAAATATAACTGCTAAAGGCTCAGCTTTTCTGTCCAAGCTGTGCCTGACTCTTCGGCCCATAATAAGCAGGGAACTGGGAGAGGGGTGAGGCTTTACAAATTCAGTGAGCACTTGGTTTTAAGTGCTCATTCAACTGTTTGACTGAGCCAGAGCTATGTAAGTCAGGGCCACACTGGTGAAATTCCAGGGAGTTTACTGAGACCTGATTTGCATTAGCAGAGCAGTTGGACTGTGTATGACTTAGTTTAGGAGGAATTTTGCTGTGAGCTGTAAGAGGAGGAGGAGGAGGCAGAACTGAGTGCTGAACCAGATCCCCAGAGCAGGGAGTGAGAACAGGACCTGTGTCCAGCTGATGGTGACATCCACCCTCCTCGTGCCACCACAGCACAGTGAGCAGTTGGCTCTCCTCCTGCTCCTGGGGACTTGGTGCTCCACTCATCCACACCACTGCACTCACCATAAGGACTTCTTTCCCTGACTCCCTTTAGGACTCTCTTCCTGAGGTAGGAAGGACCTCAGGCTCCTTGAGAAGTAGGAAAGTGTCATTCCAATATGACTTCCTGGCCCGAGGATTTAGTGTAATCTCCCCAAATGTGCTACTAATGAAGATAAGGTTAAACAACTTTAAGCAGATTATCCGAGGGCAAGTTGTTAACTGCTTCTAAGCAACACATTTCCCTTCCTGTCCCTCACATCTTCCTGGTGCTGCTGCAGGTTTTAAA